AGTTCTCACTTTTGGCAACTCATAAATTCATCAATTCGACATTGTTAATTAATGATCTGCGGATGAAATTAAAGAAACATATTACCTTGTTACAAGGTATTTTTCCGAAAGATACAAAAGATATATTAATGAGATATTTATTTGCAGCCCGTCGATATGATTTTCTTTGAAAACACCAATCTCATCATCAATCAGGTTTGCTGCAAGCTTGAAATGCACGAAGCTTAATGTGGTGAGATTTTTGAGTTCAATTTTTTCGACATCAATTTTCTTGTTTGATTTTTTAACATTATTCAAAAAAACCTGGATCTCATAAACAAAAAATGCAACTCTAAACTTGTAATAAAACAAATATCAAAATATCAAAATATCAATGCGATCATTCCCATCATATTGGTTGCCTAAATATGACGGGAACTTTGCATCTATTATAAAAATTATTATTCAAGTAAATTAAACACTTCATACAATAAAATTTGAGATAATGATGATGAAGATGAAAATTTGAAGAAGCTATTAATGATAATGATTATAACTGTTTTAAAACCATCAAGGGTTAATTCGTCAAATTTAAATGAAGCAATAGATTTATACAATATTAATATTATTTATTTAATTTATTTATTAAAATCAAATAATTCATTTTGGACCATAGAATCCAAATCGCTAATGCAAATTCTAGCTTGATATTTTGTTAATTCATCTTTATCTGTTTCTTCTATATATTTCAAGCGAAGATAAGTTTTCTGAAGTAAGTCAGAGGGTATCAAATATAAAGATTGTGAATGAGATGCTAATCCTCTGAATAATGAACTTAAAAGTACAACACATGCTACAAAAATAAAATAATAAAATAAAAATTATATAATAATTGAAAAAACCAAATGGAATAATTAATTTTATTATATTACCTCTTCTAACTTCTATTTCCTTTTGAGTATCTATAATATTTAATGAACAATTGACAATATCTCTAAACCACATCGATAAAGCTAACGGTGATGTTTCACAAGCACATCCAATAATACTTAATGCAGATACATGTAAATAAATATCATCATTTTTATTCAAAACATTTAATAATGGTGGTAAAAGTGTTGTTACTTTTAATAATAATAAAAACTTCAATCACTACCATCAAAAGATTAAGATAATCAATATTGTATTGAATCAGACAGTAGTAGTGCAACTTACTATATTTTCCAAGCACATCACCAGATCTTTGTATGGTTTGTAAGATTGCTTCACCGACTCGTAAACGGTTGTCTGTATTTTCTTTTGCATTTGAATATATTATCATCAACTTTTTCATTACTTTTTCACCATGTAAATCTGTTAATGACGATAAACCTTTAACAGCATTCAAATATATGTAACTGATAAAATTTGAACATTAATTTTTAAGTATTATTTATTAGATAATAAAAATTAAAAATTTTTTATTAAAACAAACCTTTCTTCATCTTGAACCATTTGTACAAAAATGTCTAGAACTTTGTTTAAATACTGCTGATCATACATTAAAGGATCCTTGTTAAGGGCCATTTCTCTAAGCATCGCAATACCGTGAGCTTTAATTGGTAATACATCATCTTGTAATAAAACCATTGCTTCTTGAAATTTTTTTAAAGATTCTTGTTGTTTAAAAGACTCAGCTGAACTGTTTGAAGATTCTTGAGTAGCGTTTTTAATAGATATATTTAATATAAGATTATTTGCCAATGAACGTATAGATGGTGAAGGATGATTCTGAAAAGATACAAGATTATCTTTGACAATATTTAATATATAATTATCTTTCGTCGGAAGGATCTTGCATTCTAAGATCAAATAAGTTTTGTTAAACCAATTATATTTAAAATTAATTAACTAAACATTTAATCTTACCAGCTAACAAAGAAGTTAAAAGAGCTAACGCCAATGATAATAATTCGTCATTTTCTTGTCCATCACTATCTGATTCCATAATATCATCATTTTGATCCGCAACAATATTATTTAATTCATCTAATAAACTAGTTTTGGTTTCATTTTTCTTTGATTTTTCTTTGTTGAGCTCTTTTTGATCATAATTTTCTAATACATTATTAACAAATGCAATTATATGTCCAGGTTTTTGTAAAAATTTAGAACCTAAACTCTCAATAATTGCTAAAACTAAATGAAGTAACGTTAACAAACTATAAAATATTAACCAGTGAATTAGTATTATAATTCAACTCTAGATAAATGACTGATTAAATTGGGCTTACTGTTTAGAACGTGTAGAATCTATCAAATGTTTTTGAACTTTTAAAGAAGTATATTCATTAAGAAGATACACAAAAAAATCACTAGTTAAATCATTATTATTGATAGATTTAATCAAATTAACAAATAAATCAACAGATATTGTTGATAATGTAGGTGATAAATCAATCGAAGTGCTTTATATATATAAAAGAAGATAATTTAACTTTTGCTTAAAAACCATTTATAAAGAAATAAATCTTATTCTATATCCCTTACATTCTTAATCTCATCATTATACCACCAGAAGGTCCAGGAGAAAAATAAACTTCGCCAGTTTTGCCAACATCAGGAGCTTGAAAATTTTTATTTTTTCTAAATATAATTTCTTTAAAAGCTTCAATGCCCTCAATTACGGTAACTATCTTAAAATAAGATAATAGAATTTCAAACACATATTCTTTTAAGTATGATTTTGAAGAACAGCTAAATTCATATAGATAATACAATGGTGCAATTGAATCTTCTAAAAACATTTGTAATAAATCAGGTATGGGTTCACTTCCGACCAGTATATGGTGTATCATTGTTATTGTGGATTGTAATGAGGCCTCATCCACTATTGGTGGGCCCAAATCCTTAGTGATAAATACACTTGAATTCATTTGTTGCTCAAAAATCTGTTTATGTTCTTCTGAGCTGATTCCCCACCATTTCCATAATGAACTAAATATATTAGATATAATAAATCTCTTGGCCATTGCTGGATATTTATTGGCTAGCCTTGTAATAGTAAATGCAGCAGCAGTTGACCTTGAAGAAGTTATTTGTGATGATAATGTTGTAGAAGAAATAGGTTGAATTAATTGTAACAACTGTGGACATATTATTGAAAAATACTCCTTTAATGTAAAAAAAAAAAATATATAAATGTGCGTGCATGCAAGTATTTATATTTAATTTTTGAATTTAAGAAGAACAATTATAAAATTTACCTCAACAGATTTTATTTGACTTGGAATAGAAAGTATAATTTTGGAAATTGTATCCAATTTAGATAAACTAACTAGATAAGATATTAAATATTGTTTTAATTTTTATTTAAGCCATCAAACAATAATTAATTACCTTCTTCACCATCAATCATGAAATCTATGACTTCTGGTACACCATTTGGCCTTAGCAAAATTTGTGTCAAAAATTTACCACAAACATTTATTAACCATTTTGGTGATGGGTTAATATGAGATCCCAAGAGAATAGTTAATGAATTCAAAGATTGAAGTGAACTTGTTCTATAAATTAATAGTTTCAAATTAAAAAGTTAAAATCGCTAACCAAGAAAATGGTTTATTGACTTACCTTTGGAAAATTTCATTAAACATCCTTATACTTTCTTTACGCATTTTCTCCAACTCTGGTTGATCAATCTCATAAATGATATTTCCTGAAATTTCATTATGATTCTCCTGAGGCTTGTCATTGCTTGATGAAATAGAATTTTCAGATTTTAATTGTAATGGTCCATAGGATAGTTGTAATAAAATAGCATAAATATCTGTAAGGTATTTTGAATATAAAATTGTTGATATAGATGTGTAGATTGAAGGTGTTGATGAACTATTAAAAAGAATATCAAATAATGATTTGGATAACTTGAATAGTTTAAAGTATTTTCCAGCTGTTGTTGTATTTGCATTGAATGATTTATCTTCTTTTTTCAAATCATTCAAAAATTCTTATTAAAAGAATTTTTTGTTAGTTAATAAAGTAATGATAAAAAAAACAGTAGAGTGAAAAAATTATTAATCGTATTACCATTTTGAATGTATGCCGATCTTGTTCTACGCGAAAGAGATATTCCGACACCTTCCATAAGACAAGGATATACTCCCCAAGTAATCACAATCTCAATCATGGTATGAATAAGTCCTAAATCCCTTATTCCCAATAATTCAGGTCCGTGATGAATTTTATTTTCAATATTTCTTTGATCTATATTAGTGCATGTATGTAATACATATATTGATTTATTCATTAGAAGATTTCTATTGATGAAAATATTTAAAAATTTTCACTATACCTTCAATTTTGTTTAATTCATTTAAGGTATGCTGCAAAGCATTTAATATTTCCATGCATTTCATAACAAATCGTTCCCTTATATTTGCATTATTTATAGATTCATTGGATTTGTTTCCTACTAAAGTGTAGGCTTGATCTAATAAAGTAGATAAATGCTCTTTTGACATTAAAATTTTTTTTTTGCCAGGTGAGTGAGGCCTGACCAAGCATTTTATGTTGATCATGCCATTCTTGGAATGGGTCGATCATCACTTTCGATTAGAGGTTGGCACCACTAGTGTTGTTAACGGTCCGGTTTGGTCCGACTTGAGGCTAAAGTCAAACCAAACCGTTCAAAAGTCTAAGTCAAACTGAACCGAACTGATCGACTTGGCAGCACAAGTCAAACCAAACCGGACCAAACCGTCAAGCTGATGGAGCTGATGGGTCGACCGAACCGAAGTTGATGGGGTTGATGGGGTCAATGGGATCAAAATCAATGACAATAAAATATTTATCAATTTTTTATTTTATTTATAAAACTTATTAAAATTTAGATGCTATTAAAATTATTATATTTATAATTATAATTTTATCCAAGAATTTGATCGAACTGCAATTGATTTTTATAATAAAATAAACTATGCATAATACACATGATAATTTGTGTAAACTGAAAAATAACTTATTTTTTCCACTATCTAATCATGACAACCACATTTTCAGGAAATGCGAATGAATTTAGAGTTGGCAATCGTTTAAGTAGTGGAATGGTACTATTTTTGTTCTCTTGTTATTGATTAAACAGCTTTAGCTATGCATTCCATTAACGTGCAATTAAATTTATACAAGGCGACACCATTCCAAAAAATAAAAAATTTGATTCAAAGTCTCGCGAAGAACACAGAATTCAAAGTATTTAAAGTATTTCTTTAGAACATACTGTTCGAATTAAATCTAACAATTAGTTACCCTTAGGTCATTGCTCAATTGAAAAAGAGATTAAAGTAGCATTGGAAGAAATACCTAAAGATGATAATATAGATGTCATTGAAATAGATTTGCCACCCATTAATGACAAAAAACGTGAGAAAATTCTTGAAACTATTCATAATATTTTCCAAGCTGAAAGGATCAATGATAGACTGTTCATCAAAGTAAGTGTTATTATTGTTTTATGATTATTTTATGTTCATTTTCTAATCTTTGTTATTACTCAGTTTGATGGTTTAATGAAGGAACGAATACATTCTGAATTAATGATTTCACTTCGACAACAACTTCCAGCTTGGTTGGTTGTGACTAATGGGGTATCTGTAGTTAATGGTAATGAATTTCGACCAGATGTGGGGGGATGGAATCAATGGCCAACTCGTCAGCAACAGATGGCACCTGTCATTAATGTATCTCCACCTCCTTTATTATGGGTTGAAGTAATAATTTTCTTATGGAAATGTGTAATCGTTTCTTAACAATCTTGTTAATACTAAATTATTGAACATTACAGGTGGCATTCAATAGGACTAAGGATCGTGTCAATGCATTAAACAAGATTGAATATGTTCAGCCATATTGTCCAAACACTGAGTTTGTGTTAATTGTTATTCCTTTTGGAATGTCACCCTTTCAAGCAAATCCAAACCCTGGGATTATATCAGTTGCAGTAACATTACCAAGAGCAGATCGTCCTTCAAGAGCACCATATATTGGCCATTGGGCTGTAGGTGTTACTTTTGATGCAGTACAATGGTACAAAATGCGATGGAATGAACACATTATTCTTGGGTGTGGGGGGAGCATCTACTTTAATGATGTACTTACAATCTTGTCATAAATATTTGGCATCTCAATTCAATAATAATCAGTTTGGGCACATTGCAATATGATCACTTTGCTTAATGATACATCACATCTATATGATTAATAAAAGCTATAAAAATTTACATTGTTGCCCAATTTGGGTGAAATTTTATTAGTTAAAAGCTATTGAACTACATTATAACAAGAGTCATGTCAAGTTAAAATTAGTTTGAGTATTATAAAATTTTGAAATTTGACCATCTATAATTCCGGCTAATTTTGTTAATTCCAGCCCAAATTATGAAGTAAAAATGTCGCGTACATATCAATTTAATTCGCAAAAATTAGTCACAAAATATTTCTTTTTTCTAAAAAATAAATTTTTCTTTTTTGTCAAAATTTTCTTCTAAAATATTTAAAATGGTTGGAATTAAAAAAAGAACTCAGCGCCTTAAAAATATTGCTAAAACTTCTGTGCAGTCAAGACAAGAAAAACAAATAAAAAATAAAAAATAATGAAATTGAGTAAGAAATTATTATTTAATTTAAAAATATAAATAACTTAATGATTAATTAGTATTTCTTTTTAGAGATAATAGTGATTCTGCTAATTCTGAAAAAGACTTCAAAAAAATGTATCCATATTTTGATGAAGAACTTGAAAATAATAGTGAATCTTTATTTCAATTACTGACTAATAATATGAATAATTATAAGGCCAAAAGGCCATTAACCTATCATGGAAATTCAAAGAGCACACAAAAAAGAAGAAAAGCATCAACAAAAGAAAATATCAATAAAAATGGTCAAACTCTTGATAGATTTTTTATTTTAGAAAAAAGTTCTCATGAAGAAATAACTCAAAATAATGACCCACAAAGTTCAGAAACAGTTGATAATGAATTAGAAATAGTTGATAATTTTCAAAAAAAAATTAAATATAAATTATGATGATTTGATCAAAGATATTGAAATCAAGCTTGATGTTGCAAAAGGTTATAGTTTAAGATTAAAAGCTTTGCAATATTATTTTCAATTATTAAAAAAAGATCATAAAAAAATTGAAGCAGCAAATTCAGTTTCAGAAATCTTAAATAAAGGACCATGGTTTTCAAAATGTATAAGAAGTCAGGGAAAATCATTTATAGAATGTGGTGATATTTCATATAAAAAAAGAGGTGAAAATTTAAGAGGAAGCATTATTGATGATGAGGATGTTCAGATTAAAATATCATCTTTTTTAAGAAAAGAAAAATTTAATGTGACAGTTAATAATTTCAAAGAATTTATTGCTAAAGATGTATTTCCTAGTATAGGGGTTGAAAATGAAATGACAATCAGGTGAGAAAACAAAACAATTATTTTTCACAAATTAT